GGTTTAGTCCTTGTTTAGTCCTGGTTTAGTCCTGGTCATTTCAGGGCTTCATCAGCTTTGAATTTGACTCAAGTTTTAAAACAGAAATGACACAGATTTAGGGACAAAAAGGATCAAAAATACAATAAATAAATGTCGTCTTCTGTGGAGATGAGGAGGAGACATGAGGAAGTAAACAAAAGCTGCTTCCTGCTGCTGCAAATCCACTGATCCCTGAGCTATGACTGCCACCTGGTGTTTACTCAGGGAATTGCACGCACAGTTTGTTTTCATGGTGTTAAAAATATGAGGATTTGCTCGTCGAATTTAGTTTATAAATGATTCTAATCTTCAAATCTTGGACTTACAGGGAGGATATGTAGAATTTATGGTCCAGATTTGTTAAATATGTCCAGAGATACAGGGGGGTCCGGTCAAGTGGTAACGGAGGGAAACAGGGTCAGATTTTTTACATTCAAATGTCTCTTACTCAGAAACTAGAGGGACTATTGAAATAAGTAAAGTATCAGAATGTAGGAAAGAGTTACACTCCAACAGGGTCAAGTTAAACCTGTGATATTCTTTCAAGTTGTTGACAAAAAATTTACAAACTCATGTGTCGGTAACGGAGGGAATGAAATATGCAGCACTTTTTGGGCAATAAATCCAAACAGTGATAACTCTTGGTTCTCACTTACATATCCTTAACAAACTGGTTTGAATATTTGCTTCATATAGTTTTCTACCATATGGTACAAGATTAGGTTGAAAAACCTCTTACTTTTTGACTCATGAGATTTTTTATTAAGAAAGTTCATGGTAACGGAGGGAAAAGTAACGGAGGGAAAATTGTACAAACAAGTAGAAGGTGCAGGATTTTACATCATTTGTCAGTTTTTTCTTCTGAATACTTTAATATTACTTCAAAATGAAAGAAACTATTTCTATAAAATATGTCAGTCCTTCCAAGCTAATTTTTATCATTTTAAATACTTTTTTTTTTTTTTTTTTTTTTGGAAAAATCATGTACCTTCATCAACAGTTCAAAGATGGAATAACACAAGATATGATGAAATACATCCATTTATTTACATGATTTTCAGGTCTTTGAAATTTGGGAAATAATTTTTGTTCCATGTTTCATACATGGTCTGTTTAAAACATATGGAACTTTAGAACCAAAAATGGTACAGAAAAAAGGTCAACAGTTTGATAAACTAGAGTACATATGTATCTGTTCAATACATTTTTATATCAGATGAATTAACTTGAATTTTTGGCCTTGTTGTTTACTTCTGCTTGACCGGGCCCAAGGTAAACACGTTCAAATCAAATCAAAGCTTTTACAGAAACGATTATAATGCTCCTTTATTCTTAATTACAGAATCATTGGTGATGATGTCCAAGTTGTTCATGTTATAATTTGGTGTTTTGGTTCTATTCTCTCTATTCTCAGAAAGCAGAATGAGCCTCACATGTCCACATTACATTATTTATTTTAATACCTAAAAAGCTATTTGTTACGCACTAATTGTCTCTCTAAAGTAGGTTAGGTCTGGCCTTATACACGTTTGTAAGATGAGCTAAACATTAATATAACATCGTTCACATTGTAACTGATGAAAAGTGAACAGCTAAAGACATTAGTCTGTTACTCTGACCCTCTGATCCTCACTGAACTGTTTGTTTTTTCCTCTTGGACACATTTGGTGAAGTTTGTGCAGAGGAGATGAGTTTTTCTCTCAGCTCAATCATGGTGTAATGGGAGGGAGGGGCCTCTAGGTGGCGCTGTTGTCTTTTTATTTACCGTCACATTTATTTATTTTTACCAAGAAACATTCAAAAACTAATTCTTATTGTAACTTTGGCCTGGAGTTTTTAGTTTAATAATCAAATCTTCTGAACATGAACGAGCTAAAACACAAACTCATATTTATTATATTATATTATTAAGTTTTATAAAGAGTTAGTGTGAGTTTATAAAACTTTATTTATATTATATATTATTATTATAAAATGTTTAAAGTTTAGTTTTTAAATGTTTAATTAGAGTGAAATGATTAAAGCCAAAAGAAAACAACCATCCACATGAAAACTATCAGGACTAAACCAGACTAAACCAGGTCTAAACCAGGACTAAACCAGGAAACCAGGTCTAAACCAGGACTAAACCAGGACTAAACCAGGACTAACCAGGCCCAGAACTATGACGTGAGACTGTGACGTCATACATCGTGTCTATTTTTACCCTTTATATGATTTTGTGTGTGTGTGTAAATGTTGTAAGAAAAAAGACAAAAAACATTGTCCCAGATGTGAAATGTAATAATAATGTAATAAATAAATAATAAAGTCTAATAATAATAATAATAATAATGTTCAATAAGTGTTGACTCCTCCTCCTCGTGGCGGCGCGTGCATCAGTTCCTGTGTTTTTAAAGGTGCGAGTCACATTTTACTGTTCCGCTTTTATTTCACTTTATCGAGTTTTAAAGAGCAGAAAACTTTGTTTGTGACTTTT